CTAACTTAGGGACCTCCATGGTGGCACAGAGGTTAAAGTCTCAGCGCTATCAAGCTATTACCAGGCACTGCAGCACGACCTCGATCCATGAGTTCGATCCCCTGCCACTGTCTTGTAAAGCAATTCTACCAGGGAGCTGACCCACATGCCCGCTGCTCCCCTCAGCAGTGTATTTCAGTAGATCTGCCTGTTCTGCTCCCCATCCCATCTCTGGCCTACACCCCAGTTCTTGCATGCATAAATAAATTTTTTAAAAATCTTTAAGATCTCTAATTTAATTATATCTGCAAAGACACTGTTTCCTAAAAAGGTAGCACTGACGAGTGCTGGGGGTTAGAACTTGAAACTTTCTTTAAAAATACCTTTATTTGAGCTATAATTCACACACCATATAATTTGCCCATTTAAACTATATGTGATTGGGCCTCCTGGTGGCACAGCACTATGAAGCTATCCACAGCCACTGCAGCACAAGTTCGATCCCTGCCAGGGAGCTACCCACATGGCACAGCAGACCTCTCCTATCTCGCCTCCTGCTCCCCTCAGCAGTGTATTTCAGTCAGTCTGCCTGTTCTGTTCCCCACTGTGTCTCTGTTGAATCCTCTCACCCTCTGCACCTCTGGTCTGTACCCCAGTTCTTGTATACATAAATATTCTTTAAAAAAATTAAAATAAAACTATATGTGATGGGTTTTAATATATTCATAGAAGTGTGCAACCATCACCACAATTTTAAAAAGTTTTCATTACCCCAAGAAGAAATCCTTTCTCTATTAACTGTCATTCCCTAATGCCAGTCTCCCCCAACCCCAACCTTTCTCGCCAGGATCAAGCAATCAATAATCTACTTTCTAGGTCTACAGAATTTTCTGTTCTGTACTTTCATATGAGTAGAATTATATAGTATGTGGTCTTTTGTGAGCCTGCTTCTTTCATTTGGCATTTTTTTCAAAGCCCTTCCACAGTGAAGCATGTTTCAGTCCCTAATTCCTTTCTATAGTTGAATATTTGACTATATGGATAACCACCTCTTATTTATCCATTTGTCCAATGATGGACATTTAGGTTGTTTCCATCTTTTAGCTATAATAAATAATATTGCTATTCATGTATAAGTTTTTGTGTGTATATGTGTCTTCATTTCTCTTGGGTACAAAACTAGAAGAATTACTGGGTCATAGTGTAATTCTGCATTTAATTGAGGAACTGTCAAATCATTTTCAAAGTAGCATTTTATAGCAGTATATGAGGGTTCACTGTCTCCACACTTCAGGTTATCTGACCTTGGATTCCACCATCCTAGTGCGTATGAAAATCTCATTGTGTTTTTGATGACTAATGATTCTGGTATTTTCCCATATTTTCATTTGTATATCCTCTTTGAAAAAATGTCTATTCATCTCCTTTACCCATTTAATTGAGTTACTTGTGTTTTTATTTTTGAGTTGAATGACTTCTTTACATATTCCAGATACAAACGCGTATCAAATATATCCTTAAATAATTTGTCTCATTCTGTGGGCTGTCCTTTTGCTTTCTTGATGATGCGTTTGGAGCACAAAAGTTTTTAATTTTGATGAAGTTTAATTTTGTTGCTCAGTGTCACATCTAAGAATCCTCTACCAAATCCAAGGTCAAGAAGATTTACTCTTGTTTTTTCCTAAGAATTTTGTAGGGCATCTTGTGAGAGGTGACTATTCAATCACTATATACTCACTTACTATATACAATCCATTATAATAATTATTTAATTACAACAAATTCCATGAGTACAGAACAATCCATTAAAGAGAGAAGCTGGGAAGGGGAAGAGGAGGAGGATATACATTACAGAATCATAAAGGAAGACATATGTGCACACACATACGCCCATGTGTATCATATATTAACTTCATTAATTTGTGATCACATCCTAAAATTAAAAGAGCTAAAGCTCCAAAGTCAAAGACAGACCTATGTTCATATCTTGGTTTTTGCCATTCACTCATTAAGTCACCTTAGGAAGTTATTTTACTGCTCCAAGCATCTGTTTCCTGATAATACTTCCATGAAAAGATAACAATTAGATAACAGAAACAAAATATTTAGCAAAAGATCTGACACATAGTAGATACTCCCTGATTATTAATTTCTTCTCTCTCCCTTTTAAGAGAAGTCATACATTTCAAAAATAAAGACAACTCAATCTGAATAAGCCTTACTCTTAAAGTAGTTGTCCTTCAAACATATCTAAAATCAGCAACACTAAAGAAACAATTTTATTGAAGTATGGGGGCAAGAGGATAACATCAGAGAATCAAGCAATTCAGGCAAAGCATCAGAATGCTCTGGAACTCTGGGACGAAGCAGACAAGAGATTCACAAAGGAATGATGATTATTTCAGTTGCTCCACAGGCAAGTTCTAAGTGCTTGAGGCACAGAGGGAAGAGTTAAGGCATTAGTAACACCGCAACAATTTGAAAGGTCCTCGCCTTCTGCTTGGCCAGTCCAGGGTAAATTGTCTCCATTCAATTCCTACCCTCTCTTACTAGGAAAGGTAATAAAGAAGAGGAAGAGAAATGCATGTTATTTTTCATATGTATATGAAAATATATTATTATTATTGTAATATTAAGATTTTATAGGAAATATATGTTTGGCCAAGGGGTTGTTGCAGATGAAGACCAAAAGGTTTCTCAAACATGCTTGGTCTTCATCTACAGCTCCCCTTGGACTTTCTTACAATTTGAGTGTTACAGGGTCCCTTTATCATGTTAAGAAAGGTAACTTTTGGAAAACACCTTAGGAAGGGGCTAGTTTCCAGAGAAACTAAAAGGAATAGAGCTGAAAATTTCCATTCTGCTCCCTAATATCCTGGGGGTCGAGTGGTGGAGGTCAATTTGCCAACAGCCAATGACATAAGTAGGCATGCCTACGCAAAGGAACTGCCATAAAAACGCAAGAAGGCACTTCAAAGAGATTCCAGGTTGAACACCCAAAGATTTGAGGGGAGAATGGTGCACCTGGAAGAGGGCATGGACGCTTTTCCCCATACTTCACTCTATGGATCAATTCCATAGGGCTGTCAACTTGTATCCTTGGTAATAAATCAATGATTTAGTGAGTAAATTCACTTCCTGAGTTCTAGTAAATTAATCAAACCTGAGGGGATGTTCTAGGAACCTCTGGTTGATGACCAGTTGAAGAGAGCAAAGATAATAATCTGGTGCTTGAAACAGATACCTGAAGTCTGAGGAAAGGGTTACTGGGCCCTGCTATCTGTAGCCAGTTGGTCTGAGGCACAGGCTTGCCTGGGACTTCCAGTAAAGTAGGAGGTGGTCTTAGGAAACTATGTCCTTAGCCTGTGGAATCTGATACAGTCTTTGAGTAGATAACATGAGAACTGAGATCTGAATCTCAAACACCCTGCTGGAATCTGAGAATTGCCTGTTGGTGTGGAAAATCCAACACTCACACATATCCATCGGAAATGGAGTTGCAGAACACACCACCAGTTACAGCTTTACTTCAATTCAATTTTGTATTTAAGTGATGATATTGTCCCTGTTTGGAGACCAAGTACCACTGCTAATCTTACAAACAAATATATACAGTAGTGTAGAGCACCAACACCAAAATGATGTTATCCCCCAAATATCCATTTCCTCAAAAATAGCACTTTATCCCAGACTGAGAATCAACTTACCTGCTTACCCTCTCTGAAGATGGTAAAAGGCCATCTACTCCAAATTATCTACTAAAGCAAAGTACTAATCAAATCTCTCCAACTAAGCTACTAAGTCCCTAGGCTACTTAAGGTCCTCTGTAAGTCTGCTGGACTGGTGGTACAGTGTCAGTCTTCACATACTTTATTGGCATAAGCAGTCACAAGCCTCCCCTGAAAAGTTTTAAGATCCTCTTACAATACGGCTACCATTCCCACAGAACACACAAATCACAGAAGGGAAGGATTGGAGGACACACAGCAAATGGCCTCTAAGTTGCCTAAATCTGTTCTTTATACAGTAAGCACTGTATTCCTCAGTATTCACTCAAGTCTACCATCCAGAGGTTGACTGTCTCCTTTTTCTATATTTCTCAGGAATTTTACAGTATTTCCCCACTTCTCGGGTTACATTCAGCCCTCAGTTACCACACTATAACTTGTATAAGAATTACCCTCACGTCTAGAAAAGCAAAATTCTAAATTGAGTTAATAATACATGGTCTCCTATTATCTGAATTGCTGATTAAGCTTAACAAATCCAAACAAGGTGATAGCTGATACTAAAATCTAACATGATATATACACTGGTCCCAAAATTCTTGAAATAAGAGTGAGGGCTTAACCACAAAATGCTAGTAAGCCATCATAACTCAACTCTGTACTTCATTAGAGCACTGTTTCTAGGTTTTCTAAAGGTCTGTAGTCAGTAACTATTATATATTCACAAAGTGTTGCCAATACAATATTTGCAAAGTATATTCACATATATTCTTTCATTTGAGCCTCACAATTTAGTGATGTGTCATCATTCCCATTTTACATATGAGGAAAACAAGGTAAGGTGAAGTAATATGTCCCCAGTGAGACTGGAGATAAGTATCTGGGTTAAGATTGAAGCTAAGCTTTCTATGACGAAATCTATTCCTGTTTGATGCCAAATTTTGCCTTTCAATAACATGGGAGGCTATTTCTAAACTATCCCAATTTAGCAGCACAATCAGCAAAGTTAATATCTAAAAAAACTGAAACTGGGTCAAAGCAGGCGCCTCTGACCAAACCTGGCCAAAGAATAGAATCCCTCCTTACTATCTGATGGACGCTCTCCCATGTTGTGCACCTAGATGGTGATGAATGTTTACACATAGTTTTAAATATATCTATATATTATATATTAACTATAGATAAAGATTAACAATGAACTAGTTTTACAACTCCATATATTTCTAAGTTCTCATTTATCTGAATACATATTAATTTTAAACATCAAAATCTCAAATAAGAAAAAGGCCTTACCTGTTCACCTGCATCTTGAAACTCCTTGCATGCATCCGGAAACACATCATAAATAATGAGTGGATAGCCATGTTTCATGAGATTTTTGGCCATTGGATTCCCCATGTTGCCTAGTCCAATAAATCCAACTGGAGTCTTAGAAGCCATTGACCTAGAACACACTGATTTCAATAAATTACTTTTCACAGGGTCAGATAACATTTCTTATTGTAAAGATTCATTCAATTTTCCTAAGTCAATTGTTTAGATGCTTTCTGTTTTTAAAAGGCTAGTGTTAAACTAATGATCTAATCACACTTAAGGTAGCAACAACACGAAAGCAGACTAACTTCCAATTATTTAGTTCTCCAGTAAACGACAATAAAATTTTAAGGAATTTCTCATTTTATACCTATATAACATTCCTCTACTGTTTTTCAATAAATTTAACCCAGCTATTATTTATATAATACCTATTGTGCAGTTTACCTATTTTATGACATATTCTAGATTCTTGCGGCGCCGGTTCGATTCCCGGCTGCTCCCCGGCCACCGGAGGAGGGTCCCACATGGCGCGCAGACCTCTCCTGCCACCCGCTGCTCCCCTCAGCAGTGTACTTCGGTCCTTCTGCCTGTTCTGCTCCCCGCTCTGGCTCTGGTGAATTCTCTCACCCTCCCGCGCTTCTGACTGTGCCCAGTGCATGTATAAACAAAACAAATGAACAAACAAATAAATAAATAAATAAAACATGCCTCTATTAAAAAAAAAAAAAATAAAATAAAATAAAATAAAATGCATATAAAAAAACTGAAAGCATTCAATAAACCTTATATTTTGGACAAGTTCCAGGCATGGAAAAACTTTTTACCTTCCTACCTCTACATTTACAGAAACCATCCCCTCCATTGGGGGGAGGGGGCTAACATTAATAAAATGTTAAACCCAGGAGGGTTTAACCAGTACAACCAAAAGTCACCAGTTTAAAATTGTGGTCCTAGGAGAAAGGTGGTGGATACTTCCATGGGCTCTAAGTGGCATGGGTAACAATCTCAGGACTATTTTTGGTCTAAAAACTTGGTGGAATTTCAGAGAAGGGGCATTACCATTTGCAGGGGAAAAATTGTTCTTAAAAAGCTAAGTACAGGTTTTGTTTGATTTTCTTCTTTCTCACAAAAGGCCTTCTGAAATCACACTGGGACACACAATTCAAGGTAATGCTTTTTCCAAGAGAGAAGAGACTTTGCATTACCATGAAAATTACATTAGACACTATTTCTCCATGACTACATCTGGAACTCCACTTAACAAATATTTACTACATGAGATACTATAATATAACAGAGTTCACAGAGAGACACAGCAAGATAATGATCCTTGCCCTCAAAAAGCTCATGGTCTAGTGAGAAAAAGGGAAATAATTTCACTAGCCGTTTTACCCTATCATTTTCCAGCTTAATTTTTCCATTTTCTTTTAAGGACTCCAGTTTTAAAGCTGTGTAGTGCACAAACTAATTAGTCATCCTTAGTTTCAGGCCCTCTCAACTGATGGATTCCTGCTCTTCCTTGAACTTAATAAATACGTTGAGATTTACTTAAAGCAAATTATTTGACGCTTCTAATACTTAATAGAGGTCTTCTTTGGTTGGAAGTATATTCAGTTCCTTTTAACTAGATTGTCTCCAACATTTCCATTAAATATGTTTGTCACTCGTGCAAAATCACCTGATCAGTGTTAAGTTTCACCTACCGGGTATAACAGGAGCCCTGTGTCTTTCTGATTCACAAGGGGTCCATCACATAGAAATGATACCTGACTGAAATTTTGATATTAAACAGGATGAGAAGCAGTAAGTGCCACCAAAAATTGGGCTACTCTAATTTTTTAAATACAAAAATTAGTAATAGCTTGGTTGTATTTACATGTTCAAAGGATTTTTTTTATTAATCAAAGCAACCCACGCTCATTGCAGGAAACTGGAAAATAGGAAACAATATAAAATCATAAAGGAAAAAATTAATAATCAGCATTTACATAACCTTCCCCATCTTCTGAATGCATTTTTTCATATCATGAGATTATATTAGTTATATAACTCTGTGGCCTACTTTATCAGATAACATACGCAGCATTCTATTTGTTATAATGCTTAAGACTTACTAAACTAAACAACTTACACTATAAAGGCCTTTATTGTTTAGGTCAAGTTATTTCAGAAATAAATATTCTCCCAATGTAATTTTATAAGTTTAAGGTCAACTTTTGGTTCCAGATTTTCAGAGCTTCATGTGCAACCCCAGAAACTCATGTAAAGAAGAAAAAATGGTATTCTATGTTTTATTTTTGCTATGTGTTGCTTTGAAAATTGATTTTATTCACACAAAAAGGGTCAATAATAAAAAAAATTTTATTCCCACATCTGTACATAATGCTGGTTTAATTTTCTGATTTCACTATTAGTGAGATGATTACTTTTAGATGATCCAATACAAACTATTTCCCCATGTACACGCTGATGAATCACAATGACTGTGGAGGGCCCACATCTGTAGATATTTTTTTATCTGTAGAAAGAAGTCTAAAATTAAATTTAATTAACTTTCTAAGAATAAAATTTAAAACTGCTCAATGATCATAAAATATGTATAGTTCAATATTTCTTTTTTTTCTAATTTTGACACTTTAAATATTTTGAATTAAGATTAATCAACAAGCAATTTTTAGGCCTCATTTTTTTCAAAACGGCAAATGAGTTATAAGGCTCCTCATGTTGATCCCTACAATAGAAACATATAATATGAAGACAGATACAGAGAATTTACAATATTATGTTATTTGCAAAAGATTCTTTTTTAAAAAAAAGATCTATTTATTTATGCATGTAAGAACTGGGGTATAAGCCAGAGGTGTAGTGGGTGAGAGGATTCACCAAGAGAGTGAGGAGCAGAACAGGTAGATCTACTGAAATACACTGCTGAGGGGAGCAGCAGGTGAGACAGGAGAAGTCTGCTGTGCCATTGGGTTGCTCCATGGCCAGCTGGGGATCCAACTCTTGCTGTAACGGTTGCCAATAGTTTGATAGCGCTGTCTTTAATTCCTGTGATACAAAAGGCCCAAGATTCTTTTTTTAAATATCCCTAGACTCCAAGCTTGCATGTAGATTTTTTTTCTCACTTTTTCAAACTCCAATATCAAAGATAATCCTTTTGCAGTAGACTAAAATCAAGATATTTTAAAACAATTCCAGAGGAGAAACAATTCGAGTGTTTCAAACAATCATCACAAAAAGAACTATTTAGGGGCCTCCCTGATGGTGTAGGGGGTTAAGAAGGCTCAGCACTATGAAGCTGTCAGCAGCCACTGAAGCACAAGTTTGATCCCTGGCCAGGGACCTACCCCACATAGCACAGCAGACCGCTGCTGTCTCACCCACTGCTCACCTTAGCATGTATTTCAGTAAATCTGCCTGTTCTGCTCCCCACTCTGTCTCTGGTGAATCCTTTCACACCCCAGCTCTTGTATGAATAAATAAAATAATCTTTAATAAAAAAGTAAAAACAATTTTTAAAAAAGAACTATTTAAAAGTTATCATAAATCTGGGCCTCCCCTGTGGCGCAGCGGTTGAGTGCTGGGTTGTGAAGCTGCTCGCAGCCTCTGCAGCGCCGGTTCGATCCCCGGCTGCTCCCCGGCCACCGGAGGAGGGTCCCACATGGCGCGCAGACCTCTCCTGCCGCCCGCTGCTCCCCTCAGCAGTGTACTTCAGTCCCTCTGCCTGCTCTGCTCCTCGCTCTGGCTCTGGTGAATTCTCTCACCCTCCCGCGCTTCTGACTGTACCCCCAGTGCTTGTATAAATAAATAAATAAATAAATAAATTAAAAAAAAAAAAGTTATCATAAATCTATATCCTCAAAGCATCTTTGGGTCACGGGACCCAAAGAACAAGATTACAACCCGCATTACGATTAAACCTTTCAAGTTTACAGAGGCAAATATTAATCTTGGGCCTTAGACTCTTTCTACCATGAGTAGTGAGAACTTTCACAACTCTAAAAGATACATCAAGGATTCATTAAAATTCTATTAAAACACCTTGTAAAACCACTAAACAGTACATACGTCTTCTTTGGCTTATCAAAATTGAAAGAATTGTGTATTTCACTTGAAAACCAGAGCGATGTTAAATACTGTGGAAAAGTGAATAATCTATTTTTTTAAGTATCTCCAAAGTAGGAGGCATTTTTTGTAGCTCAGTCATTGTACTCAAATAGTTGTTACTCTCAACCTTGGCACAATCTGTGAGTTTGTATCCTGTTACTGTGATTCTGTATCAGACATCTGTTCTCTTGCATCACATAGAGCCTGCCTTTCTCAGGCCAGAGAGGAAAATCACCCTCTGGTGATTTTCAGTTTTACTGAAGGGGAGGAAGGGAACGGATTAAAGAATTCAGTCCACCATTTTTTTTATTGAGGTAACACGGGTTTACATCGTTGTTTATGTTCATTCCACTGTTTTTTAAACTAAGGGCAGGGCCACTTTAAAAAAAAAAAAAACCCTGAGGATGATCTTGCTACACACTGCTTTGTTATAATTCTCAAAGTTTTACAGGAAGACAATGGCAATATCTCCAGAAATCAACCAGTTTTTTAATTAAAGAGGAATCCCGGTGTGGTGAAAAGCTCAGGAATCAGGAAGACTCAAGGACTATTTTCTAGTTCCTGCTAGAGTAACCTAATTTATTTATCCAAGGAGGTTCTGGTTTTTCGTCTAAAAAAAATTAAAGACTATTAAACCTCTGGGGGTGTAAAAACTGCCTCTTTCCAAGTCGATGACCAGCTCATAATGGGTGGGGCGAGGAAAGCAGGATCGGTTCAGGCAACAATTTGGGGGACACTTAAAGTGTTTTGGTTAATAATTTGACAAAAGAGCCATCTCAGTAGCACACTTACTGAGAAGGGAAAGACGGGTGGGAAAGACTTCCCTGCAGATCAAAGGTGATTTGAAACTTTACTGGAATGACTTATCACCTCCTTTGTATGGCCACCTTATCGGATTCAAGTGGCCCAGGTACAACCAGGAGACGTTGAAAGATTAAGCCAGCGCTGCAAAGCAGAGTCTCCAGGGAAGGTGTAGGGCTGGACCTGGGGCTGGGCCCTCTACGACTGTCTGGGAGCCGTAACTCCAAAGCAGCATTCCCGGTACCCAAATTCTCTTCCCATAACTCAAGCTTCCCCCGTCCCCTCTTGAGTCCCAAAAAGGCCACTGAAGCCCATTCATCTGGATCCAGGATAGGGGAGAAGCAGGAGGGGCTGAGTCGGTAGCCGCAGAAGTGGCCAGGCCTTAGATCCAGCTACAATATTGGGTTTTTTTAGTCCCAACCCAACCGCAGCGCCTCCCGCGAAAAGACCTCTTCGGCCCGCCGGGCGCGAAATGCGGGCGATCGGAGGAGGGACGAGGGGAGAAGGCGCGAGGTCCTTACCCACTGCAAGGCTGGCCGCTGCCAGCCGCGGCCGGCGGCTCCAGTACCGGAGACCGGAGGAGGCTCCTCGGAGCCATAAGGAGGCTGCCATGCTGCCCCGGCCCCGCCTCCCCGCGTTGACCTCTGCCGCTCCCGGCTCGCCCACTGACTGCGAGTGTGCGCCGTGGGGCGGGCGGACACGACCGCGGCGTGGGGCCGCGCGCGCACGCGCTCTGCGGCTCGGAGCAAGCGTCCACCCGCGAGGGGCGGAGCGCGGCGCCGAGAGGCGGGGCCTGACAGGACAGGGGCCGTCCCTCCTCGTACAGACCGGTAAGCGGACCAATCAAAATTCCCAGATCCTCCGGCCTTCGCGAACCACCAATAGCAGGTCTTTTCAAATCTCTCAAGCCCCTCCCCCATTGACGGAATGCGGGCTGGAGTCCCTTGTTTACCGAAGCGCAGGGGGTGTGTGGGAGGCGGTGGCTGTCACTCGCTACTGCCTCCTAGAGCACCTGACCCAGAACCACCCTTCGGAAGGTTGTAACTGCGTGTGTTTCCTCCTTGCAAGCAAGGACAAAACTTTGGCTTACAGCAGCTGTCGCAGTTTCTAGGCAGGAGCAGAAATTCCCAGTCCTTTCAAGTGTCGAGGCCCATTTTAAACTTCAGTAATATGTGCATCTCCTACTTTGTTTTTGGTATCTGTTTATTGAGGAACAATCACGCAAGTCTACCATTAAATTCATTTAATTTGATTTAACCCAACAGTTTTACGAAGACAAGTTGATAACATTGTTTTCTTTGAAGGGTAGAATTTCTAGGAACTTGCATTCTCTGTTCCAATGTTGTTTTTGTAATGTAAACAATTCTACATCCATTTCATAAGCATAAAGTGAATGAAAATCCACAGTGTTCGTGTGTGTGTAAGAGAGAGAGAGAGAGAGATAGACTGAGATTCGTTCCTATCAGTGCTTGGCGTGCATATTTCAGTCTCTGAACCCTTAAGCTTCCCATCCCACTGTCCCCATTGAAGGGTTGGGAACCATGGACTCACCCATCCAAGATCTGCAACCTTTGCAGAAAAGTAGTGCAAGAGCAAAAAGAATGAGGGTTGGCTAACAATAGAAGCCCACGTTGTCCACCAGCCCCCTAAATTCTCTTTATGCATTTGCCTGAGTTGTGCTCACCCACCCTTTTAATCTAAGTTGCAGAATCAACATATTTGACTTTGACCTTATTTTCCTCTGCCCATTCGCCCATGGTTTTGGAAGTGCCTAAAGGAAAGAAAAGCAAAGGAATTGGATCATTTCCAAGCAGTCTTTGTCAGGTCTCTGGGCATGCTTGCAATGTTTCCAGGAACTGGAACAGAGTGCACAGTTCCCATTTGTAACTGGTAAAAAAATAATTCCCTTCTTTGGCTGTCTCTCCTCCTCAAACCTTTAGTCCACATCAACCAAAAGAAGGAAGGAGGGAAGAAAGGGAAAAATTCGTCTCAACTCTTGAGTCTTTTAGGTTTGATTCTACACCCAAATCTACTTAACTTGTGCCTGGAGCATTTCCTTATGTGGTCCTTCCTGGTTATTTAGGTTTTAGCTGGAATAAACCTCCTGCAGCCAATAAATGGAGCCCTACAGGTTTCTATAATTAACTACTGAAATGTGTCTGCCTTTCAACTATGTTAACCTACCTAGAGATATTTACAACACAAGACAACATAGCACTTGATCTCCCCAGCTCCTAAAGTTTATATCCCAGTCTTTTGAGATTTTATATCCAATTAGATTGCTTTTGTCATTTTTATTGTGAGCTACTGTTTTTGTTTCTCTCGGTTGTTTATAGGGTCCCTTTCTCAAAAGTGAGTTATTTCTTTACAAAATGCTGCCTATTGCTAACTCTTAAGTACCTTTAAGACTCGAAGGGAAAGAAGGGGGAAAGGGGCTAAAAAAAAAAAAAGCAAGAACTAAAACTGGACACGAGACCTTTTAAATTTAAAAAAAAAAACTAATGTGATGACTTTGAAAACAGAGGTGCACTGAAATTTTAATGGTCTGGTTCTTTTTTCCTCAACCAGAACCAGGGAATAAATCACAATTTCTCCTTATTCTTACCTCATGTAGTTGAATATCGCCTCCAAAAAATTCTTTATTGATATATAAATTCTGACATTTTCACAGTAGCTTTCTCATAAGCTTTATGATTTTTTTTTAAAGTATTAGTTTTTGAAGGCATTTGCCAATATAATTGTATGTACAAAGGCAGTTCCTGTGCTGTGTTTGGCTAGCTTTCATTATTTGATTGCCTTCCTGATACTTTGAAAGGCACTGCAACTTCTCTCTCTCTGCTTTGTAGTTTTGTTTGAAATTGTGTTTAGATGCATTATAGGTTCTTCCCTTCTGCTTCTGGGAAGATGGAATTGACATATTTTTCTCTATTCCTCCTACTAAGTGCAACTAAAAAGTTGACATTGTATGTAAAATAAATATAAGCACTGAAAGGTGGAGAAAATAAGAATACCGACTTTGAACCTCAGAACCCAAAGAGAAACACAGGAGTAAGTTCTTGGTTTTTTGTTCATTTGTATATTCCCATACAGGTACTAGAGAAACTGAAAAACAGAAACCTTAAAATGCTAAGGGACACTGACAAAATATGCCTAAATAAAAGGTTGTTCTTTCTCTAGACAAAGGACCAAAAGCGAACAGTCTAGCAAGACACATAACTTGTAGAAAATAACCACTCTACTGTAAATAAACATGGATTAAAAACTATGGTTCCATCCCTGCCCAGGCCAGCAGAGACCAAGTGAGGAGCCTGGACATTCTCCAGGCTGTAATGAGACACCTAACATCCTTTACCATCTATGTCTCAGCCCTGCCAGTGTGGTGTTAGAGAAAGCCAACTAGAAAGCCAAGACTTATATCCCCACCACTGTGTGTGGTAGTAGGTACCCCCTCCACACATATGTCCCTCCATCTGAGATTAACAGACTGGGGGAGGGAAAAGAATAGTGGATATAAGGAATGGTGGTGAGGAAAAAAAACATAAATATAGCATTTGTTGAAGCACTTGTGCAGAATATTCTGCTGAATCTTTGTTCTTCTTTGCTCACCTATACTTTTCAATGAAAGCCTTATGATTGAATATTTTTGTTAGTATGAAGATTAAAGGAAGCTAAGCAGAAACAATCTTAATATTTTGTAAAAAAAAAAAAAAGTTGGCAACACTTAATCAGGCCCTCCAATTTTTTTTAAATAAAAAAATTGGAATAAAATAAAATTAAAATTAAAATTAAAATAAGTTCATAGAAAATAAAAGCCTGGTGGGCATCCCTGATGGCACAGGGGTTACGTCTCAGCGCTATCAAGCTATCACCAGCCACTGAGGCATGAGTTCAACCCCCAGCCAGGGAGCTACGACATGGCACTGCTGACCTCTCCTGCCTCGCCCGATGCTCCCCGCTCCCTTCAGCAGTGTATTTCAGTAGATCCACCTGTTCTGCTCCCCACTATGTCTCAGGTAAATCCTCTCAGGCCTCGCACTTCTGGTCTATACTCCAGTTCTTATATGCATAAATAAATAAAAATAAATCTTAAAAAAAAAAGAAAAGAAAAGCCTGGAACAACTTTTCTCTTCTCCCACAGACGAACAACCACTTTTTTTGATCAACACATTTTTTAAGATTTATTTATTGATTTATGCATACAAGAATTGGGGTGCAGGCCAGAGGTGTAGGGGGTGAGAGGATTCACCAGAGATAGAATGGGGAACAGAACAGGCAGATTGACTGAAATGCACTGCTGAGGGGAGCAGCGGGTGAGTTAGGAGAGGTCTGCTGCGTCATGTGGGTCACTTCCCCAGCCATGTGGGTCACCTCCCTGACTGGGGATAGAACTCGTGCTGCAGAAGCTGCGGACAGCCCCATAGGCTGTGTCTTAACCTCTTGCACCACCAGGTAGGCCCCTGATCAAGACATTCTTAAGATAAGCTGGTAACACTGAAATTTTGTGAGCTAGTTATCCTTCAAGAGATCCATTTTTGTTCATTTAATGGACAAAGTTTTAGATGTTTTAATTTATCTAATTCACAAGTTTTCAGAACATATCATTATAGTCTTTAAGTATTTACAAATTTACTAACAGCACAGAAACCATATCTTGCAGCAATAACCATAGTAACCTGCCATTTCTTAAGCATATGCTACATGCCAGGTAATATTAAGTTTTTTACAAGGATTAATTTAGATAGTTCTTTCAGTAATACTATAAAGCAATTATTTGCATTTTATGATAATCTCTTAGTTCACTAAGAGATTATTAATTTGTCGATGATCTCCTAACTAGTAACTAGAAGTAGAACTCGAAACTAGACATCTGATTTCAAATTTCATATTCATAACTCAAAAAATCAGAAACTGCCTTCTAAATGGGAACTTGAACACTAGTTTCTTGTAAGGCAGCAACACCAATCAGGCCTAGTTTACTATTATTTTTAATATTTGACACTTAAAAATACGTAGTGCTAAACCTAATTCATTTACTCACAGAAATACACAAACAATTTGCATTTTCCAGGGTAGAAGAAATGAAAATATTTCTCAATAACTCCCTCTATTCCTTCCCACTCTATTTGTGAACTTTTTGTCCCTAAAATAATTCCTGACTGCAGATTTATCAAGAACAGTATTTTAAAAGAAGTTTTTCTTTGTACTAATATTAGTTGCTTTTTTTTTCAACACACTTCCTAATTTTAGCCTACTCTGTCAGTGTGATTGAGACAAGCCCAGTCCTTATGTCTCTATCACCCTTTTCTGGGATAGGGTCTGGGATTCTGTTTAAGGAGGATCCTGTCCTTGATGTATATATGTCTTTCTGCCAAACCTGACCCTCTTCCAGTTACCTCTTTTTAATGTATTTGAATGTAACCTTTCCTAGCAGGTGTCATATGAGAAGCCTACATCATATACTGGTTTTCCACACACTGCTACCCTCGGTTTTAGTTCTTTGGCTCTCCCAACTGCACACTGTCATGTCACTGTTATCTCTTGACTCTTAAAGAATGAAGACCAAACCAAAAATTACTCAATTCAAGTATTCCCTCCATGGATTCTATATATTACCTGATATGTTAAGTATCCCTAAGACCATTCCCAGTTTAGTAATTGACTAAAAGGACTTAGGACTCAGTAAATATTCATACTAATAGCTTTATGTG